CGGGTTCGGGGGTTGCCGCCGGGACCAGCACTAGAGACCTTGCAACCACAGCTACGAGCCGCCGCATCGGCGATTGAGGAGGAGAACATGGTCCACTCGGACTCCATGTCCCCCTCCTCCGCCGGGACATGGGAGAAACTCTCCCGGAGGTGCGAGTTGAAAGTCCGTGTGACAGGGGGCTCAGCGAGACGTTCCCAGCAGACCCTCACTATACGCTTGGGTCTGCCAGGTCTGACCGGCTTCTTCCCCTGCCAGCGGATCCAACTCACGACCAGGTGATGATCGGTTGACAGCTCCGCCCCTCTCTTTATCCGAGTGTCCGAGACACGCGGTCGAAGGTCAGATGATACGACAACAAAGTCGATCATTGACCTCCGGCCTAGGGTGTCCTGGTGCCACGTGCACTGGTGGACACCCTTGTGCTCGAACATGGTGTTCGTGATGGACAAACTGTGACTGGCACAGAAGTCCAACAACTGAACACCGCTCGGGTTCAGATCAGGGGGGCCGTTCTTCCCGATCACCCCTCTCCAAGTGTCACTGGCATTTCCCACATGGGCGTTGAAGTCCCCCAGGAGAATAACGGAGTCCCCGGGCGGTGCACCGTCCAGTACCCCTCCCAAGGACTCCAAGAAGGCCGGGTACTCTGCACTGCTGTTAGGCCCGTAGGCCGTCACAACAATGAGAGACTTGTCCCCCACCCGGAGGCGGAGGGACGCGACCCTCTCATTCACCGGGGGGAACTCCAACACGTGGCGGCTGAGATTGGGGGCAATGAGAATGGCCACCCCAGCTCGCCGCCTCTCCCCGCGGGAAACACCAGAAAAGTGGAGCGTCCAACCCCTCTCAAGGAGTTGGGTTCCAGAGCCCAAGCTGTGTGTGGAGGTGAGGCAGACTACCTCTAGTCGGTATCGCTCAACCTCCCCCACGAGCTCGGGCTCCTTCCCCCCCAGTGAGGTGACGTTCCACGTCCCAAGAGCCAGATGTTGGGTGTGTGGACTGGGTCGTCGAGGTCTCCGCCTTCGACTGCTGCCCAGTCCTCTCAGCACCGCGCCACCACGGACCCCTCTGCGGGTGGTGGGCCCACAGGAGGGACTGCCCACGTCATCCCTTCGGGCTGAGCCCGGCCGGGCCCCGTGGGCTAAGGCCCGGCCACCAGGCGCTCGCATACGGGCCCCGACCCCAGGCCTGGCTCCAGAGTGGGGCCCCGGCTGCGCCATGCCGGGCGACGTCACTGTTGTCCTTATTGTGCTGTCCATGGTGGTTTTTGGACCGCTCTTCGTCTGACTCGTCACCTGAGACCTGTCTGCCATGGGAGACCCTACCAGGGGCATGAAGCCCCAGACAGCATAGCTCCCAGGATCATCCGAGTACTCAAACTCCCCCACCACGTTAAGGTGGCAGTCCAGGGGGGAGTCAAAAAGATGAATTATAAAATATATTTAGCTTTATCTGCTTTAGCCTCCATTCCATCTGGACCATGTGACTCCACAGCTGATAGACCAGATGTGAAATGTTTGGACAGAACCTGCGTGTCATGTGACATCACAGATTGGAAAGAGAAGTTGTTGATGGTTTAAAGCTCAGAAGAGAAGATTGTGATATGTATTTAAAGTGCTAGTCTCACAGATGGTGTGTTTGCTGGTACCTCGTTCTCCTGGTACTGGCTCAGGGCCCACACTGCCCCCAGGTGCCAGCTGGAGCGCCCCCTGTCGGGCAGACTGTGTATGATGAGATCAATGTCGGCCACGCCCTTCTGTGTGGGGGGGGGCTTCCTCATGGTGGAGGGGGCGTTGGGGATCCAGGAGCACCAGTCGTACTGAGACACACATGGTTTTTAGAGTGGGTCAGTGTGGGTCAGAGTCAGTCCGGGTCAGTGTGGGTCATTGTGGGTCAGTGTGGAACCATTTGTCAGGACCACAGGTCAGGACCATAGGACAGAACCATAGGACAGAACCATAGGTCAGAACCATAGGACAGAACCATCGGACACACACCTGTCCAAAGTTGACGGCTGCGTGCTGAGCGGAGGCGGTGAACACCACCACAGTCAGATACTCCACCAGCTCCTCACGACTCCTCAGGGACTTAGGGAACTCTGGGAACAGGAGGAGGTGCAGTCACACAACTGTCTGTGTGTGTGTGTGTGTCTGTGTATGTGTGCGTCTGTCTGTGTGTGTGTGTGTGTGTGTCTGTGTGTCTGTGTCTGTGTGTGTGTGTGTGTGTGTGTGTGTGTGTGCGTTTGTCTGTGTGTCTGTGTGTGCGTCTGTCTGTGTGTGTGTGTGTGCGTCTGTCTGTGTGTCTGTGTGTGCGTCTGTCTGTGTGTCTGTGTGTGCGTCCGTCTGTGTGTCTGTGTGTGTGTCTGTGTGTGTCTGTGTCTGTGTGTCTGTCTGTTTTCTTCTTTTGATTTTAATGGCCATTGGAATCGAACCATCAAGGCTCGTTTAACACCAGCTGCAGTATTAGGACTTTATGAACCAGAGATGCACTCACTTTTATG